CAAGTTCTCTGAGAACGTGAAGTTCATGACCAAACATGAACATATCGGTTATTGGTTAACCGATAATAACATATTTCTAAAACCGTAACCGTACCGCGAACCGTTTATTCTCACGGTTGGTTAACCGTACCGTGGATTTAAAAAATTGCGGTTCGGTTAACCGGGGAAAACGGCGGTTTTCCGGTTTTTAGGCGCGGTTATACAGTTATGGTTTTTTATGCCCACCCCTACATGGTATAGTCGATTTTTTTGTTGAAGTTGTGTTTCGCTCTTCACCGTAATGATGGTTTGCCGCTCGCAGCCATATTTGTGGCTCGTACCCAAGCTCGCCGCTCACACCCAGGCTCACCGCTTGCACAGTTGCACCCAGGCAGATGGCTCGCCGCCTGCAACTAGATAGATGGCTCGCCGCTCGACATACGACTCAATGATCGCACCCAAACGGCCAGGCACTGGTCTCACACTCTCACAAAAGATCTCCCGCTTGCGACTCGCTAGCCTACCAAACTCACGCAAATTGCAAGAGCAAAATTGTTTGAGATTTAATAAAAAGTTGATTACGATCTAGGGAAAGGTTTAAATTCAGAGCTTCAAATTTAAAATTTAGGGTCGAGGATATTTTTGAAATTGAAAAGTTAAAATAACCAAAGTGAAAAGAGAAACTTAGTAGTGAAAAGATAACAATGTCGTGCCATAAATGAAATAGAAGCGGTAAAAGTGTATCAAATAGGAAATCTTCGGTAGTACTTCCATCTTGTTATTAATTAAGTTCTTGGTTTGATTTCACATATATTAAGAAAATAAATTTACTGATCAATAAATTTTATTGTAGAGTACACTGTTATTACACTGTTTGACACCGTTTTGGCTCTGCTTTGGTGTAGATTTGTTTGCCAAATAAGGAATGTGTGAACTTGTTTGAGACATCTAAAAAAGGAAAGTAGGAACGTAAATACGCGACATATCCAGTATTTATGTAAGATGCATCGATACTTCATTTCGAAGTCGTATCCGCGGATCCGATTTGTATCTGATACCTATACTCATCGATACACGTCCTGTACGTATTTGGACTATATATATGTGCAAAAATACCCTATATTATTCATATATTTATAAATATACCACCCCATACTCATACCCTATAATTTTCGAAGACGCTGCATTGCCATACGCGTATTCGTGTATCCGCGTATCGGCGTATCTGTATCTGTGCAACACGCGTCACTACTACTACGGTGTTGTCGGTGTATTGCCTTCAAAATTAGTTTATGTTTGCCAATCTTGCTCATTCCCTGGAATTAAAGAGGCTCCTCTCTCATGTAAAGAAGGAGGATATTCAATCAATGGATCAATACCTTAGCGAAATTAAATTAGTTGTAGCGAATTTCTTAACGACCATCAATTCGCCGATGCTTGTTGATTGATTATTGAGGATACCTGTATCGGCTGATTATTTATTGAGTGGAGTGCTATTTTCTATATTTCATATTGAACATGAAGATTCTTAAAGTAATCCAGTGACATCTAATTATTATTAATATTATCGCCTTCTCACTGATATATACGTAGTATATTGAGGCATCATGAAACGGTATAGTTCATAAAGATGAAAGTATGTGTTTGGTTTTGAATGGATAAACCTACTAAACATTAGTATGAGAAAAATTTAAGGGAACATATGAAACAGAAAAGATACTGTGATGCAGGGTATTTTTTACCGGAAAAGTTCCCGAAATATGACTAAAACAATTTGAAAATTTCAAAAAAGGACAGTCATGTTTTTTATTCCCAAAATAGAAGTAATTACTGTCAAGTTTAGAAAATACTCACATGTTTGAAGTCTGGTACTGCCAAGGGCGGACCCAGGAAAGTCATCTTGGGGGGGCGAAAATATTTTTTAGGGGGTTCAAAATATATTTTTCGAGGGAAAAAATTATTTTTCATATACATATACACTAAAAAAAGTTCTTGTTGGGTAGCCCCCTGGGTCTGTACTACGGTCCGCCCTTGGGTACTACTAAAACATGAGAGTAATTAGTCTTAATTTAAGAATAAATAATGACAGATCTATTTTGGAATTTTCAAACCTTTTTAGTCTTATTTCGGGTAATATTCTCTTTTTAAGACGAATGTTTTAGTGATTGATTTGCTTACAATTCAAGGAAATGAGTGCTACTTTTAAGACGAATGATCACGAAATAAGTGTTAATATTATTTAGGCATAGGGATTATACTTAAGGCTTTTAATGAGTAAATCGATCTTAATCAAGTCTGGAAATGAACTCATCGCTTCTGATGTACTTTTATAATGTAAGTGAATGTCACAAGGAGACATTGATAGTTTTTTAGTTTGGCTTGTGGTTAATATTGTGTTGTAATGAACTGGTAAAATTGGAGCTTCTTTTTGTTAGGGGGCTTTATTTAAAGATTGTTCTTGAGTATTTACAAGAATGGTTGAGGTTGAAAATTGTGCCATTAAAGATTGTTCTTGAGTAAAACATTCAAGCATGCCTCACAGTTAAAATGAAAAGAGATGCATAATTATGCTATTCTATTTGACTGCCTTTTAAGTTTCCTACTTCAAATCTTAAATCAATATAATATTTTTGCTTCATGAAAAACACGGTCAATCGTTTTCAATTTTTCTAGGCGTTTGAGACCCGATCGGGCCCAGTCCAAAAATTTCGAACATGAGACCAAGAAACGAAGCCCGAGGAGGCGAGCCTGTCATGTACCTGAATCGGAAAACCGGTTTCGGGCCAATCCCAAATAGTGTTGAGCATGGTAGATCGGCACCACCCCTAGGTAGAAATATGAATAGGTCACAATCACCCGCACGGGTAGCTCAGTTGGTCGAGTGGTGAGAGATTTGGATCAATAAATCAAGGTTCGAATCCTCGCAGCGACCGAGTAGAGGTCACAGAACCTGAAATAAGGTTGGGTCTTTGGTGCGCACGGGTGTATGAGCCTACTGCCACTTTGCTGACTGAGTCACCGTGACTAACCTCCCCACCATCTTGTCGGGTCGGGGTGGGGAGCACCTTGGGTGGGAGATTCCACCATCAATGAAAAGGTCACAATCATTCACAAACATAAATGGTGCTCCGCTCGAATATCTGGAACATTTGAGAAGGGTGGGTGCTTTTATACTTTCCCTTTTGGGAGATTTATTATTATGCCAGTAACTTTGATTATATATGCCTTCAATATTCTATAATTTTAAACACTTTCACATTTGTCCTTCAACTAATGAATTCATACATACTAATGGTTTTCCCACTATAAAATTGCAGTTTTCGTTAAAATATTGACCGAAGAAGTCAACGTCAATGTTACCTTTTAGGTTGCAAATAGTACAAAACCTCTTAATGTGGACAATTTTAATAGTTACATCACTAAATTTGCAAGTATGTAATATTGTAGGCAAAAAATGAACACATGCATAAGTTCTAGGATTAACGAGTAATGACCCAATCTCGGTTGAAATTTATTAATTAAACTCTCATGCCTTTTATATTCTCACTTTCCTTTAAAGGGTTTAAAGGGTGTTGCGTTGCATATTAGGGTCTACACTTTCATTGAGGATAATACTCATATACTACATCCCCAATTTAACCATGATCATTTACCTTATTCCTTTGATTTCACCCTCCTTTTACTTTTTGTGGTAAGGATATAGGGGAGATGGAATATATGTTAGAATATAGCAATTTTATCGATTCATAACTTGAAAGATAAACAAATTGTCAAAGAGTTGGACTAACATTGGTCTCAAATGAACTTTGTAAACGTCAAATTAACATTATAATTCTATTTCTTTCGGAAAAAATATTGACTTACGAGCTTTATCCCGTGCAACGCATGGGTGGAAATTCTAGTTAACCCAATTTTAATACAAGCTATTAAGTATCTCTATATGCCTTAATTAAGTTATGTGCATGATCTTTAATTATAGGAATTTTATCGGTCCAAACCCTGAAAGTTGAGTTTACTATCAGTTCTGGACCCGAAAGAATAATTCTATCAATAAGGGACCTATAAGATTACTATATATCAATAGAAGGTTTAAAAACTCACCGCCGTTAACTTACCCCTAACAGAAGTTTGATACGCTAACTTATTCAAGGATTTCAAGCTACAGAGTCTTCTCCATACATAAATCCATATATAAACAAACACAATTACGTATGAAAACTTACATGCCCAAACAAAAATTAAGTTGAATAAACACTAAGCTCCAAAATTCACTTAGCATGAAACAAAAGAAAGTTTTTCAGAAATCATACTCAATAATTTCATGAAGTTCTCTCGTTCGCTTTGTGTGATTCCACAAAATTAAAGTCTAAAAGAATATTATGAAATTAACACATCTCACACAGCCATTAAAAGATTGACGAAAAAATACATGTTTCGTCGGCGGTGAAATCCATACTTACCGGCAGGAGAAGCGCTGGCGGGATCCTTGTCCTTGTGACATTCAGTAATCAAAGGTGTAATTGGTTGGATTGTTAGGAAGATGAAGCTAAGGTTAGTGACAGTAGAAGATGAAAAGGTATGTGTGGGCGAGTTAAGACCGGGATAAAAAACGAAAAGGTTATCTGAAGTTTGTGGTTGAGAGTGAAAAAGAAAGGATAAGACAGAGGAAGATGAAATATTGGAAGAGTATAACTGGATACACCAACAATCGTGATTGGGACGCAGCAATTTTTTATCTAGGTGGCGGTGGTATCAAACTTCTGTTAGCGGTAAGTTAACGGCGGTGAGTTCTTAAGCCGTGTATCGATAGATAGTAATCTTATAGATCCCTTATTGATAGAATTATTCTTTCGAGTCCAGAATTGATAGTAAACTCAGCTTTCAGGGCTTGGATTGATAAAATTCCTTAATTATAATTTTCATACTTTCTGATCTTACATTTCATTCTATGTGAAAGTGTACAACACATGTACTCATGACTTTAATGTATTTGAAATTTTACTCTAACAAGTAAATGTGAAGGGAATGAAGTTGTAGCAACAATTAGGTAGTATTTTATTCATTACAAATATATTGTGCGTGCCGTACAATCGTACATCACTGCATTATTACATAATTAAGGGATTGGGATTGTCCATATTTAATTAAGAGACAGATATATATATATATATGGATCCATATTAATCAAATGGGAATGTTCTCGAAATAGGACTAAAACAATTTGAAAATTCCAAAATATGACTGTTATGTTTTTTATTCCCAAAATAGGAGTAATTACTGGCAAGTTTAGAAAATACTGCCATGTTTAAAGTCTGATACTGCCAAAACATGGCAGTAATTAGTCCTATTTTGGGAATAAAAACATGACAGTCTTATTTTGGAATTTTCAAACCTTGTTCTGAATATTCAGTTAATATTCTCTAATTAAAACAGAAGCTTTAACAGTATTTGTTTATTCGATATTTCGATATGACAACTAATCACGGCTTTGCCCCCGCCGCATCGACGGCCTCCCCCTTATAACCGCAGCACCTTTGGCAACCTCCATGGTATCCGACCCTGCCGCAACAACCGTATCTGCAATATCCTCCTCCACGACCACCGCCATAGCCGCCGCCATAACCGCCGCGTCCCCAGTCGTCATACCCACCGCGTCCGCCGCCTCCATACCCACCACGTCCATAGCCTCCCGGCCCACCATATTCATCTACATGCTTGTGCTCCTCACCTTCACTTGCTGTACCAATACATGCACAAAGCACGTTAGCTAGGTAAGTTTAATAGTCAAATTACTTTAGTCGAAGTTAATTACAACAAAACTTTGCTAAAAAAATTATACAAGTACAATTGTACAACATTCCACTAATTAAACTTTGCTTTCTCAACATCACATCCAAGTTTTTTTAGTTTTGATTTCCGAAAAACTTTGGTTAATTTTTTTTCAAATTAATTTACACTCACGGGTTACGGTTACGGGTAGTTGTAAAAATCCCATAAATACAACTGAAATAAGGGAGTAGGTAAAATGTACAAATTAAATAGGACGACCATTGCATTTTTCCTGTAATAAGACTTATTCGCTATTTAATGAAGTTTTATAGTTTTAATTGGATTAAATAAGTCACTATATTTTAATAACCTAGCTCCATTCTAGCTTCTATTTTGCGTAAACTTGTTATGAAGACGTTGTTTGGTTACACTGAGATTCTGTTGAAATTTATGAAGTTTTCGCTGAAGTAGCTGGATTGACAGATTCTGCTGATTTATGAAAAAATTATATTTAAAATGTTTTTTAATGATAAATTAAAGAAAAAAAAACGTGAAAAACAACTAAAATAACCCTCTACAATAATTTCGGCCAATATAGACAAAAAGTAACTTCAACCTTACTTTTTCTTTTTTAATTGCAACAGTTCACTTTTCATATTTGTCAATACATAAGTTTGATCATTAATATCTTTCATTCCTTATTAGTAAAAAAAATTAAAAAATTCAGATTTTAATCACCTGCTTTAGTAGATACATAAAACCGGCCTGATTGTGAATATCCTATTAAGTATTAATATTTTGGCTATGAACAAACTATTCACAGATAAAATTGAAATCTATTATGTTCACCGAAGGCGTACACACAAACAGTTTTTTCCCCGATTTCAATTGTGTAGGGAATAGTCCTAAAAAATTAAAGTTGTACTGTACTATCATATTATCAATTCAAATGTAGTACGTACTATGTAGTATGTACACCACTTACTGGTCAATGAAGCTGCAGTTTTGCCGGCGAGCTCCCTAGCAGAAACCTGGGAAGCGATCATGAGAAAAACGGCCAGAGAAAGGCCGATGAGAAGAACTGCCTTGGAACCCATCTTATTTTAGAAAAAAATACTCTCTGTCTGGCTAGTTCCTTAATTTTTAAGGTACGATACGATGATAAGAAAACTCAAGTACTGTCCCCTTTTATAGGACCACGATTGCAAAAAAATAAAAATAACTCCCACTCCCCAACTCTAAAGATCGTTTAATTGGATCACATTTTCAATAAGTGCATCTGCCCCCAATTTAAGATATACGATAGTATTTGAATTTGGCTTCAAATTTAATTAGGAAAATAAAGGATGAAATCATTCTTTTCGATTTCTAAATTCTAGTCACCATAAAGTAAGAAAAAGTAAATCTATTCACAATAATTTTAAGATGAGCTAATAGAAGGCCACGCTAAAGCTAGTTTAATTTATTGTACGATCCAAACAGGAAAGTGCATGCATCTTACACAATGTCAAAATAATTTAGAACTCGTTTGGTAATACTCAAATGAGATGTATTGGCTGATTCTGCTTAAATTTAAAAAATTATGATTGAAGTCGCTGAATTGGTTAATTCAGCTTAATTATTTATGAAAAAAATAATTATATGTAGTATTTAAAATATAATTTATTAATAAAATAAAGAACAAATTATATGAAAAAACATTTAAAATTTTGGTTACTCCATACTACGTATTATTTATGGATTTTTACTATTTTTTTACTCCTTATTAATTTTTAAATTTTGTTTTCAATTTTTATTTCATAAACATTTTTTTACGATTTTTATTGTTTTTTTGTTTACGATTTTATTATGAATCATTTTATTACGAATCGATACTATACTCTTAGGGGTATTAATTAGGGTAGAAAGTTAATATTTGATCCTATTTGTGAACAAGTTAGGGCTTTAGCCCTATTTGTGAAATTAAGTTTCATTTAATCCCATTTAGGTCAATTACTATATAATTTTCTGTCTGAATTAGTCTAATTTGGTGAAGCGGGATGTTTAAACTTTTTTCAAGTAACTGTTTGATTCTTTATTCTATTAACAAAATATACATTATCCAAAAATCGGTTCAGAAATTTAAAGAATAGAAATTAGTTCAAATATGACTAAAACTATGGCAAAAACCTAAAATAGGACTTGCTATGTTTTTATTCCAAAATAGGACCATATGAGTCCTATTGGAAACATACCTATTTTGGCATTCCATTCTTACCCTTCCATTAAATATGAATTAAAAATAGTCAAAAGCTATAATTAAATGTTTAATTCATAATAAATTCGAAAAAAATTCAAAAATTCGTAGAAATATAATTAAAAAATTTATAAAATTTTTATAAAATAAAAAATTCAAAAACTTTTTTTTTAAAAATAATTTTATTTTTTAAAAAATTAATAAAAAATAGTAAAACTCCGTAAAAAAAATTTAAAAAAATATGGATGCCTTTCCCACCGCCTGTACTACCTCCCACCACCACCACCTCCGGCCGATGAAAAAAATGCCATTTTCCCAGAAAAATGCCATTTTTTTCTGAAAATGCCAAAAAAGTGGCATATTTCTCTTTTCGAATGCCAACATTTTCATTTTTTCTGTCATAAATATGGCATTCGTAATGAACTTGGCATTTTTTTCCCCTGGTGACTGGAGGTGGTGGTGCTGAGGCGGCAGAGGCGGCGGCATTTTTTTTTTGAGTTTTTATTTTTTTTTATTTTTTTTTAATTTTTTTAATTTTTTGAAAAAAAAATTAATTAAATTTTTAATATCGAAATGTTTTTCTTAATTTTTTGGTATTTTTTACGAATTTTTATTATTTTTTATTATTTTATTAGGAATTAAAACATTTTAATAGCTATAAGGGTATAATTGTCCAAGGTACACATAATTAGTCCTATGCAAACATAGTTTATTTTTTGGTCCTATTTGTGAAAAGTGAATGACTTTTAGTCCTATTTTGATAATTAACTCTTTAAAGAAATTCAACTGTTAATTAATTATGAAAGGATTATTCTTAATTGTTAAATTGTAGGCACCACGAAGGCCCATACCAGAGTCAACGTGATTGCAGATTCGCAGACACAAGGAGAGGAGGTGCATGCTGTCATGAATTACTCCGTATGAGTTGCCCATATTTTATATTTTATAGGTAGATTCTGTGGTACTATACCTTATCCACATGAACCAATGAGAATGTTGCAGTTGAATTATTTAAATCTAAATTAAAAATAATATAATGATGTAGATCACTCAAGTGAATGATAGGTACGGTACCCCATTTTTTAAATGGGTACCGGAGTTGTCATCTATTTTTATATCGGCGAAAAAGGAAAATAAATCAAATACGGAGTAGTCAGCATGGACTATGGACCCACAATTTCACTTGTACTTGATCGAATGATCGAGTTTATGATTTTTCAAATATTTCTACATGCAAGTTGATGCAAGTAGTAGTAATCCCCAACTGGATCGAGAGAATGCTAATATTAAAAATATACGGAGTATGAAATAATGACATATCCAGCCGTCGAATATGGGAAGAACTATGGCATAAGCTCTCGAACTTACATAAAAAGTGCAAATCAGCTCTTTTATATGAATTTTTGTCCAGTCGTCGCCATTTGGGGAGGTTCCCGATGGACAGGGACGCATCCAGGATTTCGAGTCAAGGGGGCGAAAAATTTTAATTTGTTACGTACAATATGGCAGGGTGAATTTTTTTTGCTAGTGAGCGGACTGAATTTTTTCACTAGTGTAAAGCTCCACGGTTATTTTTATTCAAAAAAAATCATTAATACATACATGACGACATTTAAATCTATATCTTTAATTTTATAATTGAAGAGCTCTAGAAAAAAAGTATTGATACATTAAATCGTAAGAAATGACAAATAAAAGGAAAACAATTTGAAAATAAAAAGGATATATAAAATTTTATTTGAAAATAAGGAATACATTGTATAAATATATTAATCTTATTAGAGATATTTTTACGTTGTTAAATCATGTTTTCTTATTGTGTATTCAGTATTTGTGTCCTATTTAGTCTAATTAATAGAAATTGGGCCACCTTATAATTAAGGCCCATATGTCTCTTAAATGCATATTTTGTAATGGGCCTATTCCTCAGACCTATAAAGTTTAGAGGAATGGGCACAAAACCGTGTAATTTAATGTCAATAAACATTTATATTTTGGACTCAATTCTGTTTGTAAACTGTGTGACTAGTGTGTCCGATATTTAATATCATTTGTTATATAGTTTACAAAATTGACTACTAGTTATCGAATACAGATAATTAAACATTACAAAACTAAGAATATATATATATAATAAGTATCATAAATCTTAAACAATGAGTTGTTCAATTGTTTAAGTTATGTAAATTATCTTAGGTGTTTCTTTTTTTAAATCTCTAAGTAAGTATTACATTATGTAAGACTATAAAACCATTTTGAAAAGTTAAGGAGGACGAATCTAATCAAAGTATGAAAATTGTAGGAAATTTTGAAAGTCCAAGGGGGGCGATCCCCCCCTTTAAATCCATCATTGCCGGTGGAATTTTTTGATGAATTTTTTTGAGCATTTTATTCATTAAGTCTAGTTTACTCATACCAAATTTCAACTAAAAATTCAATCGGCAGGGCAGTCAAATGAATTTTCGATTATAACTGCGCAGTTAGAGAGCGCAATATATTTCAGAAAATCATTTGACCGCCTTTTCGGTTGAATTTTTAGCTGAAGTTTGGTATGGGTAAACTAGACTTAATGAACAAGATGATAAAAAAATGTCTTAAAAAAAATTCCACCGGAAACCGCCACAAATGGCGACGGCCGGACAAAGCCTCCTATAAAAGGGCTGATTTGCACTTTTTATGTAAGTTCGAGGGTTATTTGATAATTCTCCCACAAATATATGACTGATTTCTACATAAATTAGTATGCCTTGTTGGGTAAATCGGTGTTTTTTGCTTTTTAGAAAATTAGGAAATTAAGAAAATAATAGACGAAAGAACTGGACAAGGAATTGACATAGGTTTTGTCAAAGTATGTGCAACGCACACCGTCATTAAAACTAAGAGTTTTTGCTACTTTTGACCCCCCAACTATTGTGTCAGTGACACTTTTGATACACGACTTTTAATTTTTCCATTTTTAGTCCTCGACTATTATTCGTGAGACACTTTTAGTCCTCTACTTTCAAGTTTTCCACATTTAGTCCTTTGAGTATTATCAAATTGACACTTTTAATCCTTCTACTATGATTTTGACATAATAAGTGGAGGACTAAAACTGTTTCTATTGCAATAGTTGAAGGACCAAAAGTACCATTTCTACAAAAGTCGAAGGACTAAATACGGAAATTTTCAAAGACGGGTACCAAAAGTGTCTCTCGCACCATAGTCGTGGACTAAAAGTGGAAAAATTAAAAGTCAAGTACCAAAAGTGTCACTGACACAATAGTCGGGGACTAAAAGTGGCAAAAACTCTTAAAACTAATTCACTGTCTCCCATGGTGTAGGGGTGAGCATTCGGTCGGTCGGTCAAATAACCGACCGAGAACCGAATAACCGACCAATATTTTTTACTTAAATAACTGACCGAAAACCGACCGACAACATTACAAAAACCGACCAAAAAATGTCATTCGGTTTCGGTGGGTAATCGAATAACCGACCATAACCGACCATAATCGGCCGGTGGAATTTTTTGATGAAATTTTTATGCCATGTTCTTTATCAAGTCTAGTTCATCCATACCAAATTTGAGCAAAAAAATTCACCGGGAAGCTCGTCAAATGATTTTTGGAAGTTAACTACGTTTTATATGTATTTTTTAGCGCATTTAACTTCCAAAAATCATTTGACAACCTTCCCGATGGAATATTTTGTTGTTCTCTTCGCCTGATCTGAATGTTTCTGATCTGAATAAATTAAGTTCTGATCTGATATGAATCTTTTTTATCTGATCTGATCTGGATCTGTCTGATCTGATCTGAATCCTTCTGATCTGATCTTAACTTTCCAAAGAAGTATATAATAATAATAATAATAATAATAATAATAACAATAATAATTATAACAATAATAATTATAACAATAACTATTATTATTATAATTATAATTATTTA